AGAATATCAGTAGTCATTTTTGCATTATAAAAATCAGTAAGAATTTGTTTGTGAGAAAAACAACTTTCTAACATAGCACAGGTAGAATTCCATCTATGTTTAACATTTAATATAAAATGTTTATATTTCAAACCATAATTTTGACATAAATAATTAAATTCTTATTTTCTTGCTCCAGAACTTGTAATATATAATACAATTTCTAATTTTAGAAATATGAGTAGAAATAATATTTAAAGCATCCTGAATACATAATTTTAAGATGTGGTATACACATTTGATTAATTGAGATTTTAAAATATTTATTGCCGAATCATTCTTATTAGCTTTATCAAAACTAATACAAAATAATTTATTGTCAATTCTATAAGCATGTAAAGTATTTAAAATACTTGCTGCAAAAGCTGGCCATTATGTGGCCATTCATGCCTAGTAAAACTTAAAATTATTTTATTTAAAAGCTAATTTTCATCAATAAAATGATCGGTGACACAAATATAACTTATGTTAAATTTAGAAGTCTAAATATCGGAAGTAATTGCAACTTTAGAATTAAGATTTGATAACATATAAATTAAATTTTGTTTATATGAATAAAAATTTTTTAAAGCATATGATCTAATAGTATTCCTATAAACTTTTTTAAATTGTGGATTTACAGAATTACATAACCATTTTTCTAGTTTAGTATCTTCAACTAACAAAAATGGTTGTTCAACATGTACAATGTATTTTGCTAATTCTTGCCTCATTTTTTCTTAAGAATATTTAAAAGTGCCAAAATCCTAAAAATCCTCTTGCCCAATTTGTGTTTGTGTTGTTTCTCTCCCTTCTTCTTCTTCTTCTTATTCTGTCTCATGGATGAGAAAATGTTTGCCCAAATAGCGAGTACCACCCTTGCTACAATAGCTAAAGTATTTCCTAAATTTTTGGCAAATAACTCTTTTTCCTTCCCCTGAACCTCCTATATTTTAAATATTTCCTAAACTAGACTAATCAACTTAGTGGCTTTCTTTTTCTTTCTCCTAGTATCAGTACTAGGGGTGGAAGTTCTGTCAATATCAATAGCATCCATATCAATGCTAACATTACCATACTGCAATTGAATATCATCGACATTGAACATGTTGGGGAATTGGTTTCGGGAGGAGCTGACATTTTTTAAATTCTAAAAAAATAAAAATTAATTTAATTGCACTTACCTGGATTGCCATTTCGGAATCCCAACTTGATTTCAATGACTGAATCCTTTCAATTCCAAGAGTCCAAGCCTCCTAAATTACTAACTTGAGATACTTAAGTTGTTGAACAAGCCTTTTTCTTGTTGAAACTTCAATATAGTTAAGAATTGGAGAATCAAAGAATATAACATATAAGAGATTGAGAGATTGAGAGTTGAAAGAGTATGAGAACTAGAGAATGGTGGAGGATAGGGCTATTTATAGGATTTGATGAAAATAATTCAATTGCCCAAAATACCCTAAAAACTAGTCATTTTTAGTTGTTGGGAGGGTATTTTGATCATTGTAAAGTTATTTATCACTTTACCCAAAATGCCCCCCCAAATTATCTGTTATATATTTGTTGGGGCATTAGTGTCATTCTTTCTTCCTCCCAAAACCGAAATACATAAATACCCCCATATACCTGTTGGGGGGTATTTCTGTAAAAAACTCCCAAAAGGTTGAAACTAGCCTCCCCAATAGCTAGTTCATCGGGTGGGCCGAGTGCGGCCCACTACGGGCCCATGGGCCATGCCAACACGTGGGCTACGGGCAGCACGTCACGCATAGTTGTGTTGTGCCATACCGGCTCGTGGACCTGAAACCCCAAGCTCAATACAACCCGGACCATCGTATCGGGATTGGCACGACCCACATGCCATTTTGCCATGCCATACCGGACCGGGCCACGAGTGGCATGACCCGATTTATACCTCTAATCTTCTACACCCAGTCGGATTTCTTACTAACCCCATTTTGCTGCACTTTCTACTAATTCAATGACTTAGTGACAGTTGTCCCATCTTCATGTGAACTCATTATTATGTGCAACAATTTCCACATGAGACATCTCCCCCTCCCTCTCCCTCTCCCCATCAATTCCTTTTTCTCTTGTTCATGTTCATAGTTCATAATAGAAATCTCCATCCTATTAAACTATTCTCCCTCTCTCGCACACGCTCGGTAAATCATAATCATTGGTTCATATTAATAGGACGTTAAGAACCCAAATACCAAAAAATAAAAAAATAAAAAAATTGAAAAAACAAAAGGACCCATTTGTATAATGGTTAAAGCTTGTTGGGGACAGAAGTAAAACCAATTATAGATTAGTCAAAATGATTCTTCACAATTGCCAGGGATCATTTTCTGGTTTGCTTGAAAGTACTACCTCTGTTGCTTTGCAATCAATTCAGATTGAACCCCGAAGTATTCTTTCACAATGATCGCCAAATAAAGTAGTTGTGATTTGCTTCTGCTTCACCGCCTCTGGAAGTGTTTTTTTCTTTGTTGTGAATTCAGACAAACCCCCAAGTAACCGTGACATCCAAAGATTATATATTTTCAGAAAGAAAAAAAAAGATGATCTGCCTACAAAATTTGTCAAACGTGCTTCTTTTTTATTTAAGAGAAAAGGATGGGATTTGTTGCATAGGTTTCAACCTTCGGCCAAAGGAAAGAACATAAACAAACATGGGACAGATGTCACCATGTCATTGAGATAATAGGAAGGGAATGTGGTGAGTAGAAAACCCGGACTCCTTCTACACTCAATGCTAAGACATACACTAACCAAATAAAATTTTGGGATATCATCTTCACGTAAGGCTAGGGGTGTTTATGGGTCGGGTTGGGTCGGTTTTATGGGATTTTCCCAACTGACCCGACCTAATCGGGTTACCAGAGGTGGGAACCGAAACCGACCCAATGATAGGCTAAACCGACCTGGTCGGTTTGAGTCGGGTTGGATCGGTTTGGGTCGGTTTTGGTTTTGCTCCTGTACAAAGCCGAATAAACTCTGAATTAGTTGAGGACTTGAGTTGAGGGGGGCGGACCAATCAAGTTAAGTTAGAGAATAGAAGATTTTAAGAGAAGACAAAAGTGGAATTAGAAGACTAGTAGGAAATTAGGAATTCTAATTGTAATTGCCTAATGGACTTTCTAGTTCTAGTAGGAATTCTAATTGTAATTGACTAATCTAGGTAAAAAACTAAAAAAGGACACTTATAATTGAATTCTAATTGTAATTGCCTAATCTAGGTAAAAAACTAAAAAAGGGACACCTAATTAATTGAATTCTAATTGTAATTGCCTAATCTAGGTAAAAAACTAAAAAAGGACACCTAATTAATTGAATTCTAATTGTAATTGTCTAATGGGCCTTCTATTTCTAGTAAAAGTCTAGAAGACTAGTAGGAATTAGGAAACTATTCAAACTAGGAAGTAGGAACTACCAAACTAGTAGAAGAACGACTAATTCGGTTCAAGTCGGGTCGGGTCGGTTTCGGTTTTCACATAAAAAAACCGAAACTGACCCGAGATATCGGTTTTTGTATGTGCCCAACCCGAAACCGACCAGTACGAATGAAAACCCGACCGACTCGGATTGAGTCAGTCCGGGTTGGGCATTCTTATGAACAGCCATACGTAAGGCCAAAGCAAGTCTCAGCATTATATGTTAAAAGATTACAGCATAAGCCTGTATATGGCTTGTTCTTGGAGATTTTTTTTTTCTTTTCTTATTGCATAAGTCTTACTAATTAACGTGTAACTGGTTCTGGAAGCCAATGGTTCATGCTTCCAATGGTTCATGGGTCGACTTATTCCAAAGTCTTTCAGAGTCAAAGAGTATGTATACGTGGAACAAAAGTTAAGTGCTTCTACCTATTCTCTTTCATGGTCTCTCTCCGATGGATGTTTGGCCCTGTGTTTTCAAACCACCGTTGATCCAGACGGTCAGACTGTTTGGCCTGAGAATCGTTAAGGCAATCGGTTTCGTTTCACCCTTAGTCCGGTCTTTGGTCAAAAATCATTAATTTGGTCAGTGATTTACAGATCCGAACGGTCGAATCATCAATTCATTTGACTTGTTTAATGATTTTGACTATTTTTTTATTTTTTTTTAATTTTAAATTAGAACAGACCGTCTATTCAAACAGGACAGTCGAACCATCAACCCAGAAACCGGTAGCCAGAATGATTCCAGTTCCGGGTTAGTTTTTAAAACCTTGATTTAGCCGAACCACATTAGATATTCTTCTATTCATTCTTGTTTTTTTTTCATCATTTCTTCATTGTAGTGATTTGCCGGTGAATTTTTTATTTTGTTGGAAGCCACGGAGGGTATTGTTAGATGGTGATTAGTCCTTTGATAGGTTTGATAGAAGAAGTTGTGAGTCCCACAGAATGGTTGGCCCCGACCACATTGTATGTTTACCATGTGTATTTCACATGCAAAGGAGAAGGATACACATACATTGTCCACTGCTTCAGTTTAATATTAGATACCTCCATTGCCTTCACTTTGCGCAAACCAAAACAGAGCTAAAATGGGCACCTATATATATGCAATCAGAGAGTATTAAAGGAATCACAAAGTGAATCTAACCTCTAAACAGAGCCTTCCCCAGAGAAGAGTACGGATCGATTAGCTGATCTTAGGAGCTTTGTAACCAATAATAACACCCCACGTCAGCAGTCATACATGCCAAGTCAGAGACTGAGTGGTTGTGGGGTATATATACTTTATGCTGATGTGGGGTGTTGTTATTGACTACACAGCCCTAATCTGGATTCTTGACTACTCTTCTCTGTGAAAACTCTGGGAATATTATTATGGTGCAATATCGGTTCCCAGTCAACAAGCTTGCTTGCTCTTCACCACTGGCCAAAGCATGACACAGTCCGGAAGGATCCAATTGATTTGATGGGATGGTTAGGATCATCAAACTGGACCAGTTTTGGCCTGGTCTATCTCAAAGTAGGGCCAATTATCGATTTGGCAAATTAAACTATTATAATACAATTCATTTGGGACTGAATCACAAAGCTAGCTAGCTACATCCCTAAATCAACAGACAGATCCTCCTGCAGTTTCTACCTTAATGAGGAACTCATTCAATAGTTAAAAGGACGTAACTAACTGTTCATAAACTAAACTAGAACGATCGAACACATTCACGATTCTCATTTACAGAACAACTTCCTCTATATCTCTTTCTATTCGAAAGAGATAGATATGATGTAACCACAGTATTTCCCAACATATTATTCATCAAAATACACTGCTCGTTAATTTCCAACTCCAACCTTCTTATGCTCTATCTCCAGGAATATGAACAGTACTCCTTTCCTGAAAAAGTGAGTGAGTGTGTGTGTGAGAGAGAGAGAAAGAATGAGGGAAAGTTGGAAAGAATAAACAACAGTAGTCAATATCACTGAAATTATACATCCAAAATCAACACTACTGAGATCTTACGTCTTTTACAGTGTGAGCCCTTGGAAGCTTGTAACTGGGATGATGCATATTCGTACTTCCATGATGAATGAAAGGGCGGCCACCTGATCGCTTTGGAGGAGGGTTGTAGGAGTGGGTCTCTGGACCTCTGTAGTCAATCTCGTACACTTCCCTATCTAAACCCGTGACCGTGGCATCTGATCCTCCTGTAGAGAAGAAGCCAATGCATAAACAGATATGAGCTAGGAAGCGAAAACCCAAAGCAGGAAGATCAATTAAGCAGTCACGATGATCTCGATCTCGATCTCGATCTCGGTATGGGTGCTAAATGCTAATTACCTTCTGATAAGTTTGACCGGGCCAGAAGGATGGAGAGAAGGAGTAGAGTGATGAAAGCAGCACTAGTCTTGAGCTCCATCATATCCTTGGCTCTTGTCTTGTTGTCTGGAGACGATCGAGGAGAAAGCACGCAGCAGGCCGGCTTTATGAAATATGAATATTATTCATGAATCACGGAAGAAGCACGGCGGCAAAAGCTGTTTAATTTTCAGCTTTTGGTAATTGAAAGCATCGCCATCGGCACAGCAAGTAGTTGCAAGGTGGCGATGTGGACGAGTTGAGCATTTATGGACTGGAACCACACAGTGCCAAAGCTAAGTATTTTGTTTTCGATCCGGACAGCCCCATGTGTGTATTATTGGTGCTCGATGGGCATCTCATTAGCTCTACCTACCCTCTCTCCTCTCTCTCTTTCATCAAATTTAAAGCCCCTCACCCTCTCCCTAGCATTTCAAAATGACTACTTCAATGAAATCCATGGCCTTTTTTTTCATTATTAAGCTTTTTAACGAACCTTATTTTAATGAAACCCATTTCCTTGTTCTTTCTTTTTGTCAAGTACCCATTCAACCCAAAAGCTTATATATGCTATTATATAAGGTTGCTGAATAGATTTTTATTCTCTCACGCGAAAAGCCTATCTATTGGATTGGATTGAAGCATGGACAAGCACAGGCCCATTTCATAACTTCTCCTGAAGTTTAATTAATTATAATATGGCAACGAGGATCAAATACTAGACTACTTGATCAAACAAGCTCTGAGTGTTAAGAAACCATTCAATTTAATTAACATTTTTTGTAATTTAATAAGTTTAATTTTTTACCTTATAAGATTAGAAGTTGAAAACTTTGTGGGAACTAACATTAAGGAACCATGAAAAGAAAAAAAATGGTGAATATTGTCTGTCTGGAAATTATTCCAATAGAATCTTAATTAGGAATGGCAATGGGGTGGATTTAGGGTAGGGCACGGTCAGGGCATTCACTTCCCATCATGGATGGAGAATTCCTGAATTTTCTCCACCTTAAGGCAACCACCTAAAAAGAGTACATCTAATTTGGAGATATTTTAGAAATAGAATTATAGGAATTTGAAAATATTTTAATAATTGAATTATGGCAATTTAGGGAAATTATAAAAATGGAATTCTGAAATCCAAGGGTTTTAGGAATTTTGAGGAAACTTAGAAGAAATATAGGGATGTTTTACTAATTTATCATGGGATTCAGGGCGAATATGGGGATTTAACGCAAATCCTATTTTCAATATGGAGCAAAAATATTTTCTTCGTCCTTGCTCCATTTCCATTTAAAATCGGGGAAAACCCGCCCCATTCGAGACGGGGCAAGACAGGATGGGGCCCGATTTTACAAGGAAAATTGCCATCCCTTAAAGTTACAAGATGAAAATTGTACCGAGCTCTTAAAGGCTATTGAATTCTTCACAAGCCTTAACAAATGTAGTACTGATATTAAAAGTCATGTAATAAAGGCAATTTAGATGATTGAATGTGTCATAAACTTTTATTCAATTGCATGCAAAATATATAATGTGTAATTCAAGGAGTACATGCTTCCCAGCTCAGCCCATGATGGAGCCAGGCGTTCATCAAGTTTTGAACTGGTTGAAGCAGCCCTGAAACGAACTGTAGTACAAAAGCCATAAATGCATGCGAACAGTAACAAGCATAACCAATAAAACCTGGGCAGCTAATACACGGATTAAGTATGATCAAAATAAGAATATAAAAGGATCACTTACGTATGCTTGGAATGGTTGGATTTATATGATGACCATCACTTTGATGGCCCACCAACTGGACAGCCATGAATTATTGGTGTAGTAACATTTGATACAGCAATTCCATCGATCATGCTGCAACCTGCAACACATGTGCCTTCCAGTACACATTGGATGATCTTGATGCTACAAACCCTTTGACTGGTACTAGGGGCTACCATGATAACAGTTGGCAATTTTACTTAAATCGAAATTGTGAATGCAATTTAAGTCTAAGATTAATTATTATCTCTTTGTAAGACAAATATCATTTTTGTATGGCCAGAATTACAAGGGCAGCAGTGTTGAAGATAATGTGTTATGTTTATTGGATGGTCAAGGCCTGAAGGGTCCATTGGTTGTACATTTCACATTGAAAGACATGCGTACCATTTGTCTAATATAAAATGGATACTGACAAACATACATAGATGAGTGAAGGAGAATTAATAGTTTATGTTTTTTTAGTGACTGGTGAGTGATTTTGAATTTTTGAACATATCCCCATTCATAACCGGGCATACCCTCTGTGAAAAGAATGGACAAATTAGACCCTGATTATAGTAATAAAATCTAACACATGGGGGTGTTTTTTTTGTCTTTTAAAATTATTAGGTATATGCCCCCTTTGTCAAAAAATGGGTTATGCTCAATCACTACCCTAGGATTAAAAAAAATGTAGTTTATCACTATCCTAAGTTGGGCTAAGGTTAGAGTTGAGGGTTCACAACCTTGGATGTGGATTGAAATTAATCTCAAAACTAGACCTGTTCATGGGCCAAGCTCGGATTTAACTTTGGCTAAATTTTGAATGGGCTTAACTCAAAGCCCAAACCTAAGTAGTATAAAATGTTAATAGACCGAGCCCAAATCTAGGCCCATGAACAGGTCTAATCTCAATTCTCAACCCAACTTAGCCTGCCCGACCTGCACCCCTAATAACAGACACCGAATAGCATGCCCATGATGAACTAACCACATCAAACTCACGGCGTAGAACAAATCTGAATAAGAGCTTTACCCAAAACTTAAAAAAAAAAAAAGGACCTGGAGAAAAGCAAGCTGAGCAACTAACAGTTTGTCCCATTAGCAAAGCGCCAAAGCCTAAAATCTCTCTAATAGGAGTTGAGTGAGGTGAGGCCCCAACGGCTATGACAAATGTATGGTTGAGCAAAGCGCCATTGACTGTCCAAACAGCCCCTTTTTTATTCTCTTTATTATGAAGTCGGGCCTGCAATAACAAGGCCATGAAACCAATGCAATGCTTGAATAGGAGATCGCCACTGTTTGCATTTTATTCCCCCATTCTTCTACTATTGAGAATTTGAACTCCAGGTCCTTTCTTTAAAGTTTAAACCCTTTTAATTTTCTGTACGTTACATCAGTTCCTACGGAAGTTTTAATATGCAAGGTTTTTAAAACTGAATCGGTCAGGGATTTGGTTCCCGGGTCAAATGATTTGACTGTTCGAACCGAACAAATGGCCTGTTCTAACAAAAAATAAAAATTGATCAAACCGTTGAACAGTTCGAACGATTCAATCGCCCAGATCAACGGTTTATTAACCAAATCAATGGTTTTTGAAAAAATAACGATTTTAGAGTAAAACGGACCAGTTCCTGATTTTTTCAGTCTGACTGTCCAGTCCGATCCGATTTTGAAAACCATGCTAATATGTAGACCACTAACTCGTGAGAAAATTATCCCCAAGAGCATTAGGGGAGGGACCAGTCGACATGAATGCTGGATTGAGGCCTCACCCATTTATAAACCCAACTGGCGGAAGTGTCCGCGTGAGATTTTATTGGATAGAATATCAATTCCATATGTCATGTTATTTGTCATAACTCTAAGCTTGTGCTTCAAGCTGAAAATGGCATTGGTAGGTATCCCTTCAAGCTATGTGCTATGTGATTTGTGGTGGGTATCCCCACACAGCTTTCAGATATGTGCTGTGAGATGGGTATCCCTTCAACTTCAAGCTCTCTCCAGATATGTATTCTGGAGAAAACAATAAGGAATTTTCACTTTTTCAGTGAGGGGGATGGAATGCACAGAAAGGTGAACCATCAATTTGAGGAGTAAGTACCTTTTTGATAAACCGACCACATCTCTAGGCACAGACACTTCTAAGTTTTTATGACACCATGCTGCTTATATGTTCACATCGGCACGCCACAGCACATTCCAACTATGTATTGGGAATATCTCCTCATGACAAGTACACGAGATGTTCTAAATACACACTTAGATGTGCATGTGGAGCGCCTGTAGGGCGCTGATGTGATCTCCTTTAACATTCTAAGTATAAATGCCACCACATCAGTGGCATTTGAGTTTAACAATCTAGTTTTTGCAAGGTTTTTAAAATTGGTCTGGACAACGAACTGGTCAGGGGTCCGGTTCCTGGGCCGAACGGTCCCACCGTTTGAATCGAATGGACGACCCGTTCTGACAAAAAAAATTAAAAATTAAAAAAAAAACTGCCAAACCATTGAATGGTTCGACCACCTGGGTCAGCAGTTTGCTGACCAAATCAACGGTTTTGGGAAAAAACAGTTCTGGGGTAAAACAGAACCAGTTCCCGGTTTTTCTGGTCCAATCGTCTGATCTGGTCCGGTTTTGAAAACCATGAGCTTTTGCTTGTTTGGAAACTGGTTTGAGTTACAACAGTCATACGACACCTTGCATGGAAACCCCTAATAAGGGGCTGTTTCGTTGCATTGCCATTTATTAAATAAATGTTTTATATAACATTTTTCTTGAAAGATGAGAATTGGTTGAAAAATATTTTTTAGCAATTTTGACAGCTATGTGCCATTAGACATCATTAGGGACCACATAAGCTGAATAGTGAAAAAACACCCATTTGTCGGGGAGAATATCAAAAAGTTGTTTCCCCCAATAAATAGCTTTCACACAATCCGAGAAAATTATTTATTTGATAAATAGTTTAACTAATGAGCTGTTTAGTTCCATTGTTATTTATTAAATAATAAACATTTCAAATTCCATTGGAGGAAATCTTGATAGCTGGTGCCATTTTTAAGATAAACAGCAATAGAACCAAACACCATCTAAGGTGGCTAAAACGGTCATTGTATTATTTACCTATAAAATAAAAGAATATGGGTAAATACACTTACCCAGATAAGTATTTTCCAGAAAATACTTATGCATATATCCAGATAAATAACTTACCGAAAAAGCGAACAATTCAACAAATATTTAGATTGCAATTTCTGCCTGGATAAGCTGAACCGGACCCAATCTATACCAACTGATGAGACTCAGTAAGTGCTCTGGCTAGTTAGATCGGAGACTTATGGGGATCAAATCCCGTTGCCACTGGGGATTTTGTGTTTGGGGGCCTGGGGGACAGGCTACCCCCCTTGTGTAGATCCATGAAAAACTAAAAAAAAAAAGAGTAGAACTATTTAAAGCCACTGAAATTTTACAGACTGGGCTTGGATTGATCTTGGCATGGCCAATCCTTTCCCAATTTGCATCTGTACCGGGCCTTTGTTGTAAGTATTTGAAGTCCTTTTACCGTCATTACCAAGTACCGACAACGCTTTTCATTTCATCTGCCTACGTTGTATTATCAAGTTGTACATTTTCACAAATCCTCCCTCTCTCAAATGCAACAACAAAAGAAAAGGGTATAGATCAACAAGTTCAAACAGTCATCATAAGCAGGGTGTTGCTCATTGCTCAAACCCCTCATAACTCAACTCCCAACAGTCTTACCTTAAAAGCTTGTAAAGAAAAAATCCTAATACCTTCGATATAAATTATAAACCACTTGCGGTGGAGACGGTAGGCTAAAGTTGCTATCTCCAAGTTAGTAGGGTCTAGGGACTCTAGCTTTGAAAGATTTTCAGTAAGTGTCATAGTCTTGAAAATCAAAGCTAACAGTATAGAAATCTGTGAAGGTCATGCCCGTCCAGCCATGGCATAGCTGTTGATGTTGGACCGAGCTGGGGTTGCATGGAGGAGACGTCATGGGCATGTGATCTCCATCCAAACTTCAGCATCTCACCGTAAGGGACCATCGGAAGTTGGAACGTGAAGGCACTATTTTCTTTGCTTGGTGCCTCCTTCCCAATAGTCCAATATTGGCTTTCTACCACTCATCTCTTCATTTGTTTGGGCTTTTGGTTTACAGCCCAAAGAAGACGAATAAGCCATGTCATCTTTTCATTGGAGAAGGCGTCATGGACATGTGATGTCCATCCATATTTCAGCATTTCACAGAGAAAGGGACCATCGAAGTTCTTAGTCCGTCGCTCCCACACTGGCTTTCTAAGTTTTCTCCAACTAGGGGTGAGTATAGTTCGGTTAAAATAGAATAACTGAGCCGAAATTTTAGGTTCGGTGTTTTTGGTTCGGTTAGTTCGGAGAATCGGTTCGGTTTCAGGTGTAAATATTGGTTTGTAAGAAACTAAGAATTCGGTGTTCAATTTCGGTTAGGGCACTTGGTGGTTCGGTTAACCGATTAAACGAAACTTCTAGAGGTAAATAGGTAAAATTACAAACACTCGACTCTCTCTAATACTTACTCGATCCTTGTTCTTTAGGCGGCCAAAACCAATACGGCGGCAGAACCCCTGCTTCACTTCAGCCTTCAAGTTCGCCTTCTTCAACCTTCGTCTTCCCAGATTCCCAGATTCCCAGTTTCCTTCGTAAAACTAAAACTCTAGTGTCGGGCAGTCGGCAACCTTCACCTTTGAGCTCCGTCATCCATTTATCCTACATTCCTACCACCGGCGACATCAGTTAGCCTTGCGGCAGCGGCGAGTGCCAATTCAACTGCTCCAGAGTCCAGCTTGCAACTGTGACTGCGACCTACTTTATTCAGCACCGGCAAAACAAAATCTCTGAATTTGGTTCAAGTATGGTGTCTAAACCACATCACTCAAGTACTTGCATCCATCGTTTTTTTTCTTTTATCTTTGATAGATCAAGTATTCGATCCCATCTATCAAGTGATTAAATAGGCACCCACTTCAAAACTATTCACTAGCTAGTTTAACAATGAAAAGTTTTCTTTCTTAGTTTCTTTTTTTCCCTCCTCGAATAGGAGTGGTATTCCAGAAAGGAGCTTAAGCCAGCTCAAATCTTACAAAACAAAAGTTGCTATAGTTTTTGCACACTATAGCTGAGGTATCAGTTTAATGGCAGAGAACTCTCTCTCTCTCTCTCTCTCTCTCTGACTAGTAAAGTGCCACAGTCAATGGATTTGGGTTTTAACCACCGAAATAAGCGAAAAAAGAAATTGGTTTGATTTGTTTGATTTCGGGTCGGCTTTCAAAAACTTTAATTGGTTTTTAAAAGTTAGATTTATGTGGTTCGGTTTTTAACCGAACAAATCAATGGTTTAAAGTATCGATCGTATCTTTTGAAAAAGATACGGTCCGAAACAAGGTTCAAAGTATCGTTACGGGACCCTTCCAATACGCTCCTACAGTGGGTGTATCGTGGGTCTGACCGCTTCAGGGATGGAGGGGTCTTAAACCGGGTCCCTTGAACCAAAAAAGGTAAAAGAACAAGTATCGAAACACCCGATACGCCTCTACCGGCGTATCAGGCGTATCGATATTTTGAATCTTGGTCCAAAATGTCTGTTTCCAGATGTTTTGGACCCCAAACTTTTTTAATAATAAAAAACATGTTTTAAGATTCCCAAAAAACAAAATTTGAAAAAAAAAACAAAAAAAAAAGGTATTTCAGCCATTTCTAAGTACCGATACAATACGGCCGATATTAATACGTATCAATACTTTGAACTTGGAACAAATCGAATGCTCACCCCTATCACCAACCATCTCTTCCTTCACTTGTTTGGGCTTTTGGTCCATTCTTTGACTTCATATGTTATATCATCCTTTGTCATTTCCATTTATAGGTAAAAATGTACGAGTAACATTTTTAATGTTAGGTTTTCCTTTGATATACATTCTCATTCACAATAAAATAACGTTCTTTGTTTGTTTTTCAAAATACTAAAACCAACAAAGGCTTAAATTACTAGCACACCCCCTATAGTTTGACAGATTTACGTAAAACTATCTGTAATTTTCATGTTTGTTTGATCCAATTCGAATTCAATTCAAATTCAATCCGATTCAAAAATACCCTGTAGTTTTCACAGATTTACCTAAACCCTTTTATCTTGCATGTAATTTGGTTACATTTTTTAATGAATACGAGTATTACCAAAAAAAATTAGGGAATCATTAGTTCCTGCTACTGAGTAATTTGACATACTACGAAGCATTGAACATTTGGAAATTGGACCCTCAATTCTCTTTACAAAATGGTTTAAAGTCCGTCGTCATTCTCCCCCTCAATGTAAAGAAAATCAAGGGCAGATAACTCCCATTACGCAGCAAAATTTGGAAAATGCTCCCAAACAGTGAAATCCTAGTTCTTAAGTATGAAGAGCAGCCAGTGAAGCATTTGTGGAGCCACAGATCGAGGTCATCATATCTTTCGTAAGCTCTCATAAAATCAGTGCTAACGACGTTCTTAGTGGGAAGCACCTCCAAGACAAGTTTTATAAATTATAACCATCTGTCTCTTACATCGTTAAATAAACTAAAATGCGAATATTAAGCTTGGTTGCAAGCAATTAGGGAAGAAAGCACCTTAGTACACCGTCTGAATATTGCCATTTATTTTTCTCCTGGTAGGGCAAGCAGTTCAGAATTTCTCTTGTCAAGTTGCCAAATCTTCAACCGATTATATTGTGATGTTCTACAGATTATTTGCCCATTTGAGATAATAATAAACCCAAGCTAAATTAGGTTCTTCATCTTAATCAATTTTAAAATAATTTTCTTCCTATTAAACAATATATCAAGTAGTTAATTAATATTGGTAAACTAAAACAATATATGCTTATATCCAGATAAAGAAAATGGCAGAAAAAAGATATATGCATATCATTATCTCAATATAAGTTAGCTTGCAGTACCCTTTTCCAGGAAACCAGTGTAGCAATATTTCTTGTAGACAAGTGAAGAAAGTTCGATGAATCATTCAGGATCATTAACTGGAGAAACTCCATTTACTCAAGTTGGAATATCGGAATTGTTGCTCCCAACTGAAGTTTGTTTCCTTTCTGCCTGTAATGACCGGCACAAGGATTCAAGCTTTTCCTTCTGATTCTTTAGTTTCTCTATCTGCTTCTTAAATTGTTCACGCTGCATAAAAGAAAGAAACCGGAAAATAGTCTAGAATAAAGTTGCCAGAAGAAAAGCTACACACGTCATAATAAGACTCTGGACCATGTACAACATAGAAATGTATTTCAAGGAATCAACTTTTCTTTCGCAAAATAACCTGCAATCTAATGTAACAGCACTGATATTAAATGAGCATTGTCTCGAGATTCCAGAATGCCTTCTGTAGGAACAATTGTCCATGGTTTACGTTTCACACTATCATTTCTCTCGGCACAGCAAAGTAACGAATACAGGGGCGGCAATTTTTAACCCAACCCGCTCAACCCGCCCAACCCACCCATTTATTAGCGGGTTGGGTCGTAACATTTAATACTGGGTCTTAGCGAGTGGATCAACCCAATAACAAAATTTTAAATGGGGAAGCCAGGTTGGGTTATGGGAGTCCAACGGATATCCATCAATTAAGGATTCTAGTTTTTCATCATTTGTTTATATCTTGGAAAGAAATTTCAACAAATTTCTCTTCCTTTACAAGCGGCAAGTCTCCTCCTCTACAACTCTGAAATCTGAGAGTGACAAGTCCCCTCCTTTACAACTTTCAGATCTGAGGGCGACAAGTCTTCTCCTCTACATATTTGAGGGTCTGTTTGGTTCGAGGGAATAGGACCCTGGAATCGGAATCGGAATCGGAATAGGTCATTCCGTTTCCCAACGTTTGGTCGACCAGAATGGGAATGAATAGGCGGAATGTCATTCCCCCACCATTCCCAACCCCCTCCTCCAGAATGCGATTCCCATTCCGCTATTTAGTTTCTTTTATTTCTTTTTAGACAAAAAACCCCTCAAATCCAACTTATGATTGAGTTGTTACGGGAAAAGGAAGAATCCCTTCAACCTCCATACTATTCCTTGTCGTTGCCACCGCCTCCTCTTCCTCCTTCCTCCAAATCAGCTACCACTCTTCTGGTTGTCTGTGTTGTTTGCTCGAACTTTTGATTCTACTTCTAATCTGCTCCCTCTGCAACTGCAACTCATCTGCTCGAGCTTTTCTTGCTGTTTGTGTCGTCTCCCTTCCCATCTCAAACAGATGCAATGCAGCACAGGTATTAGAAGAAACGTATACCAGAGAGAGAAGCTGTGTACGATGAGTGTGCTTTATGTGTCAATGTGTGTACGAAGAAAAGCTCACTCTTCTAAGAAGACTACTCTATGCTCTTCCAAGAAGGCTACTCTATTCTTCTGGGTTTTTTGTTCGTACGTGATAGCGTCTCTTCATTACTTCAGTATCCACCTGCCCTTTCTTCTTTTTTAGTGAGATTTCCCCACCCAAATCCCTGTCTGGTCTTATACATGCATCCCGAGCTTCCCCACAAAGTGGGCCTCTGTTCTACTCGTTTCACCCACTTTTAAAAGATTAGAAAATACAGAGATGATAATAAAGTGGGCCTCTGTTCTGCTCGTTTCACCCACTTTTAAAAGATAAGAAAAAACAGAGATAATAGAAATTGTTGTAATTTCTACATTTTTTATACATAATTTTTACATTTATTTTTGTAATTTCTACAAATTTTGAGTATTTTCATGCATTTTTTTAATTTTTTTATAAAAGTATTATAATTTCTGTATTTTCCTGCAAAATTTCTGCATTTTTTGGTATTTTCATGCATTTTCTATTTTTAGTAGGGGCAAAATTGGAAATCATGGTTGATTCCGATTCCAGCCGCTTCATGAACCAAGCAGCATCAATCGGAATCTGCATCCAATTCCTGTCTGAACCAAACAGGTAGGGGGAATAGACCATTCCGATTCCGATTCCGACCGCGAACCAAACGAACCCCAAGATTTCAGGGCGACAAGTCTCCTCTACTAATCTCTCTCTTGACCAGAACCCTAATCTAATGGCGGCTAGAGGTGTAAAACGGGCCACGCCGGACCAACACGGCATGACCTGTGCAAAGTGCGGGTCGTGCTATCCTAGGCCGTGTCAACCCCCCCAGGGATAACTTGGGGGTCATCCCAGCACGGCCCATGCCTATGCGGGCCCGTGCCATGTCGTGCAGTGTCATGCCGCAGGGCGGGCTTGCCCATGGGACGAGCCTTGGGCCAGGTCGGGCCGTGCATCGGGCCAAAGCTATTTATTTAAAAAAATTGACAAAAAACTTCAAATTTTAATTTTATATGAATTTTGCTGTATAAAATTGCTTATATATACAATAATTAAATAAATTAGTATAATAAAATTAAAAAATATTTATTTATTAATATATTGTATACTATATATTATTATTTAATTATAGTTTATATAATATTATATAAATATATATATAATATAAATAATATATATGGGTCGGGTTGCGGGTTGGGCCGTGCCGGCACGCGAGCCGCGGGCGGCACGGCCTGTTTTACACCTCTAGCGGCAGTAGTATCAGTTCAGAAGAAGATCGATTGCTGGAGTAAGAGAAACCATCATTTGAGTTAGGGTTTTTTCTTGGATTGCCTCCGTTCAACTGTTTTTTTGAGGGAAGAGGTTCATTGGAATCTGGAATCAAAAGTATTAAGGTGTGTGTGCAATGGGGCTACTGTTATTGTTTGCTAGATATCTGAACGACAAGTATCCTTATATATGATGAGAAGCATTTTGCCCAACGGTGGTTTTTCTACAAATTTTTGTAATTTTTCCGGTAGCTATTTATAGTCTGTAATTTCTATTATGTTTCTTCACTCTCTATGTTTTTCTACGATTTTTTATATCATTCACGAATTTCTGTTCTTTTTTCTGCAATTTCTAGTTTTTCTTTGTTTTTTGTAATTTCTGTTATTTTTCTTTATTTTCTATGTTTTTCTATAATTTTTATTATATAATTATGCAATTTCAGTTTTTTTGTAATTTTCTGTTTTTTCAAAATTTTATGTAATTTCTATTAATTTTATGCATTTTTTGTGTTTTTGTTTAATTTCTATTTTATTTCCTGCAATTTCTATTATTTTTGTGTAATTTTCATTATTTTATCTAAATGGGTTGGGTTGGGTTCAGGTGGGTTTGGGTTGAACCCAACCCATTTAATTCTATCTATCATTAATGGGTTGGCAGGTTAGATGGGTTGGGTTAAAACCCAACCCAAACCGAACCCAACCCAACCCGCCCAATTGCCACCTCTAAACATATCTCAAATATCAGTAAGATAGATAACCGATTGTATCAGTACAATAGTATTAAAGATAGCCTATCAAAAAAAGAAAAGTATTAAAGTTTAGGACCGCACCCAGTCTACCCCTCTCCCAAGACCCAGATAGCTTGGACCAACAATGAGTAATGACCTTTATTTTTAAAGGTATCTATATTTTGAACGAAATGCTAAGTATTTATTGACCAACTTCTAAGAGAAATAGTACAATAATAATGCTATCCAAAGATTGTGACTACAAATAAAAAAACTAAACACACACTACATGCAACTAAAACAAGGACCAACCAAAATCAGAGCAGAAGGTGAATTTTCGGATTGGTTCCACACCAATAACCAAGAATATGTGGATGCCATAGCCCACTTCAGGATTCTTCTTGTGCAGCTCATTAAAAAAATTGCTGAAAGGATGGAGAACCATACCTGTTTGCCTCTTCTCAACAACCCTTTGATTCCCCAAGAAAAGAGATAGAAGAGAAGTTGGGAAACACATTCAACTGTCATTTGACTGATGTCAAAATCTTACATGCTAGCTGACAGTGGAGGAAGAGGTGGTTTGATGATCACCCCTTCATCCAAGCAAAAGATACAGCCAGTTGATAGAATTGTCATTTCCTCTTTGAAGAGAAGTGTGTCCCTGTGAGGCATTTTTCCCATAAAACCGTCCAAGTAGGTTATGGGATGGTGGAGCTACATCTATGAGAAGAGAAGAATCAAGTGGCTGCTACAAGGGAAGGAGGTTACTCTAAAATGGGTTAAAAGAGATGATGCTAATTCTTTTGCTGATTCTTTGGCTAATCAAAGGGTGGGAAGGAATTGACTATTTTGGGCTTGGTTGTAATAATATTGTATCATTTTTAGGGAGAGCTAAGAGCGTTTATCTCTCAGTATTTTGCTGGAAGTTGAAATAGCGGATAATTCCAGAATGAACACTGAAGGCTTCTCACCGGCTAGAAAGTGGAGGAACACCCTGTCGGTTGAGAAAAAGGAGTTTTTGCTGGAAGAGATGGTTTACCAGAAAGAGTTCACGATTAAGATAAGAGAAGGAAGGTGAGGAATGGTCCTGCTAGTAGGCCAAGCAGTGTCTTGATTTCAAAGTTTTCTGAATGGTGCAAAATGTGTAAGTTGGTGTGAAACTTGGAACAGCACTTTCAAACATTTAAGGAGGGAGTATGTTGCTGAGAGAAGAAGAAATTCAAAAGGATGGTTTGTAACCCTGGTAGAAAAATTCGAACAAAGGAGAAAACAATCGATTATCATACCTGAAGGCAACAGACTGCAAGGTTGGACTCTCCTGGCTAATGAGCTTCACCAGAGACTCGTTATTAGAGAGTCGGGGGCGGAAACTAAGGTAGAAGGAGGGTTGGGGAAAAAGGAGATGATAGAAAGAAGAAAAAGGTTGGAATTTTTGGGCCTAGAAGAAGTTGGTAAGCCAAGACCAGCCGGTGGTGGCTCTCACAGTATCAGATCCAAAGATTTAAATGGTAGGAGAGAAAGGAGACTGGGAGCAGAAACTAGTCCTTGCTGGAAAAAAAGGGATTAAAGATTGGAAAAGGGTTTTAGAGGAGGTGACTGTGAAACTTGGGATCCATCGAACTGTCATTTTAATCCCCTTTAACGACAAGAAAGCAGTAATGGATGTAGGGAGGGAAGAAATCGACTTCACTACGGTGGAAACAAAGGAAGGAGTCATCACAGTCGAAAAATGGTGTCCCTCGTCTAACTCAGTAACACTGGAGGAAGGGAGCTTCAAAGTGAAGCTACTGGGATTACCATTCCATCTATGGAAGAAATATCTCCTTGAAAAAATAGTGAAGGCAATGGGTGGTGTTC